GCAAGTACCATACTTTATAATCTGTAAATTCTACATTGAGATTTTTGTTTTTTCTCTAATGAATCAAGTAAACAAATCGTTGACCGATGATCCGAGTAAAAAATGAGGGTCAAATTCAAGACTAGCCTAGAGGAGGGAGAAAAGGTAAAAAGAAGTTTCTGTGATATTTACCAAATGTAACTAAAGAAGTGATCTTATGTACTGGAGAGAAAAAAGGTTAGTATTTCTGGATGAGGACAGAGTTGGAGATGGCAGCATCCACGATGGTCTGGTCCAAGTAGGTGAGCGGTTTAGGAGGAACCCCCATGATGAGTAATTGGTAGTCCTTGGAGCCATCTGGTCTTGACTCGTCTATGAAGCCTCGGATGTCTCTAACCGTGTGGTGAGTGTTGAACTTGGATACAATGGTTGTGCCGTCTGCTAATTTGAGCTGAATCGAGGTTGTTGGCGCTGCGGGATCTACCACTAGGCTCACTGATGGTGGCAGTGCAGTGGTCAGTGAGTTGGATGAAGCTGGTGGTTCAGCAGGGACAGAGTCTGATCCGTCTAGAGTTCTTCCTACGCCTTGGAATGGAGTAAACGGTTTTGGTGATTCCTGTTGTTAAAGATACATAAAACAAGAGCTTTTACTTTACTTGTTCTCAATTTGAATAAGAGAAGAACAAACAAACATTAGAGAAAGAGGAAGAAATCATATATATACATGGAAGTCTTCTTCTTGACGCCAAATGAGTCTGATACGACCTTTGAATTCACGCGGTGACTCCCAATTTTGTAGGTTCTGGTAATCGACATGGGAACATATGTTAATCCAAGTGAATCAAGTAGACAGATACAATAACACAGCTTGAATATAAGCAAGAGGATATTGAATAGTAGTAACCTCAATATGGTTTACGTTTTCCGGGTTATCGAACGTCTCAAACGGATGATTATCGACAGTGAAACCGTTCCTCCAGATAGTTACAACTTCTGTAGTGACTACTAGAGGTCTTTCTACATCTAAATCAGTAGCTTCCTTAGGATCTTGCACCATCGTCCCACTAAACAACAATACATATTCAAAACCCTTTGTTATCTAGATACATACAAAGACTATTATGAAGCAAAGATTGAATCTTTAAGGATTTTGAACGAAACCCATCAAAATCAGCAATACATAACATCTTTCCAGTAACATGGATTCACCAATAACACAGTTCTTTATAGTGTTTTGAGAAATTCACAATTCGTCTTCTCCAAAATCACATTTTTCCCCAATTTTGACGATCCAATTTTCCCTCAGATTCCCAATTTTCTCACCTAAGAAATAGTACATTGATGCAAAACAGACTTGTTTAAGAAGATAATGAAAGCTTGAGGAGAATAATTACCTTTGATCTCTTTCGCCGTGATTCTCGTGCGGTACATCGGAATCTCTATCGGTTCCGGCGGAGGTATCACCGGACGTACGGTTGCTCCCGGCGGGTTGACGCTTTGACAGGAGAGGATACCTGGCACGAGGCGGTGATCTCGACCGTAACCGCGACGGCCACGGAGCCAATTTCGAGGGAATGTGATCGGAAACTTCATCATGCGGAGAATGAGGGATATCGATTCGAAGATTCAAAGACCGAGCTCGAGCATCGACGATTCGGGGGAGTTTTTCGTCGTTAGTGTTAAAGACATTTGACACGGCGGTGGAGGCGAAGGCGGCGGAGACGGCATCGTGGAGATTCCAGTGATGAGTTTCGAGAAAGGAGTGAGCTTCTTCTCTCGACGAAGATGTGGTTTTAGTAAAAGAACTGATCAGTTTCTCTCTCATCTCCGTCGCCGGAGAGTTATCATCAGCCATCGCCCATCGCAAGATTCCTATTAAAGACTTAAATAGAACAAAACGATGCGTTTTATAGAATTCTTGAAAGAGCGAAAAACAAACATTTATATATTTAGCAAACTAATGTGTTTACATTTTACAATCATTCAATCCATAA